GAATTATCGATATAAATAGCTAGGGTCAGCTATTAGGCAAGCCAGTTCACTGTGTCGTGCACCACAATTTTTCTCGCCAGAATCTATCTTCCATATTTCTAAATCTACTATTTGTTCGTGCTATGAATATCACGGCCACATCTGGTGTGATGTTCCTGCTATATGTTATGTGATTCTTGATCAAATCCAAAGAAGAATATTCAATGTTATTGGTCCTTACCTGGCATCTCGCCTTCAGTCACTTTTCCACTTCTGTAATGTAGCTTCTCTGTGTCTTTTCTATAAATACTTTCATGGTAATTGTTCTGATGAACTTTCCTCTATAGTGAAGTATTATGGTGGATGTAGTAAGAAAGGTAAGTAAGAATGTGTTGTTTTGATGTATTAAGAAATATTGTGGTATGTTCGCGTCAGTGTCTGTGGCTAGCTAAAGACATTAGAAGACCATCCCTTTACACATTCTCAATTTTTGGCCTTTTGCCACATTTTCTGTATTTAAGCAGAAATAAATATCACTTTCCTCTATAGTACTTAGATTTATAAATATAATCGCAGTACTAGATTGGCGGAAAGGTCTCATTATTTTTCAGTTGAAATGGCCAGATGTAACTGTAAGTTCTATGCTCAAAGTTTCTTCTCTCACACTTCTCGCTTGTGGAACTCTCTTCCTGTTTCTTGCTTCCCAGTCAACTTTGATCTCCAAAAATTTAAATTCAATTTCAATGATTATCTTCTTTTCTTTTTAAATCCCTCTTCTTTTATCGTTCGCTCTCCTTAATACTGTGTGTGTGTGTGTGTGTGTGTGTGTGTGTGTGTGTGTGTGTGTGTGTATTCTATAACACTCGTTAACCACCTTGAGTCATAGTGGCTTTTCTGCTTCTGAAATGAATAAAAAAAAGCCCTCCATTTTGTTTGTCATAAAATAAAAGAAATAACCATGTCAAATGATGACGGTTAGTTACAGCTTTCTTTAATTTAACATTGTGAATCGTTATGTATGTTCTTAGTGATATGTTGTAGAAGGTTTTCTTTTAGTCTTCTCCCTTTTAAAGGAACTGAGATTCTTAAAAGCGGAAGCAGGTGGATTCAGGTGAAAACAAGAATGATGAGTATAAACATCCTTTAAGAGTAATCCAAGAGTAACCAAGTTTTCAGATTTATACCAATAATCAAACTTAAATTAATATTATGCAAGATAAGACATCCATTGAAATTCGATCTCACTATGAAAAATTTCATCATTCGTTTTTACTTCATTCCTTGTATTATTTGAAATCACTGAAGTTAAGCAAGGTGGAACTTTGTGACCAAAAACAGGAATAAAATAAAGATTAATTACTTATAAACATAGAGTTTCATTTAAAACCACAGCTAGACAAAATCGATCAAAACAACACAATTAGAATTTATTTATCCTAACATGAAATTTTGGTTTATTATCAATTTAAAAAATTTCAATGATATCGAATAGTGTTCTATGAAATAAAAAAGGCATGTTATTTACGTGTAATTTATTTTAAAATTAATTTATATATGTTATGAACTGTTTACGAAATATAAATTTTTATTTTATATATTGGAGAAATGTCTGCTCATTGGGCCTCTTTATTTTAAATTATTCTTTTATTAAGTCGTCAAATTTTAGTTTTTCATTATTCAATAGATGACAAAGAGTAAAGTCGATGTAGGAATATTTAACTATTTTTTCTATCTTTATTTATTTATTTATTGTATACATTTTACTTCGTCAGTTTTCAAGCGGTTAACTTACTTTACTCCTAAAATTAATTGCAGTTGCTACATATACTAGCGTATTTTTGTAAATATATTTTGTTCTATTGGATTAATTGGAGAGATTTTTAAAAAAAATTTTCTATGTAAATCAACAGTTATATTTCCCGCCTCCACTTGAAACTGTAAATGTGGGTTTCTTTAGAATTCTTTTAAAGAGAAGGTGACGTTTTCATTATTGTTGCATGAAAGATTTCAAAATAAATTCGAGGTTATGGTAAAAGAAACACCGAAGTATGGTTGGATCAGTGAATGAGACTAGTTAATTTACGGAAAACTAACATCTTGTCTATCCCCGAAATTTTCTGCATAGTACTATATGTAAACATTACAGATATAACTAAAATATATCTGTAAAAGGACAATATTGATCCATAGTACTCTTTTCTCATTTTTTTGGAGGCTTATTTTTCAAAAGTAAATATGACGAGAAAACCAAATTTCAAGAGAACATCACATAACCGAACGTGTTTGTGACGCCATTTTGTTTCAGCTGCGTCATTCGGTAGGGAGGTCTCGTTTTAATGCAGAAGGATAACTAGGGTATTTAATATTCAAGAAAGATATTTAAGATAGAACAGTAGAGAAAAAAATCTGTACTCGAGCACTGTTGGGGCGCACTAGAACTAGAAATGGACTGGTCCCTCTTATATAAGTCAGCTCTAGAGAGAGGACGGGAGAGCGAGAGCGTCAGCAGTCCAGATAAGCTTACACGTTACATACCGTTGGACTAGAGACTTTGGATATTGTTTCGTACTAACCAACCTTCGTTCTACTAATCACTCTGTTGTTAATTGCTTTTACAAATATACCAGTATTTTCCCCTACAACTGTGTTTGTCTTGATTCATACACCGACACGCGGGAAACTCACAACATCTCAACAAGCACATCGGATGATTCCCAAATATAAACTTTCTTGAGACCAGATGAATCATTTGTTACCGAGCTGTAAAGAAAGTTTCATGTGTTCATGTTATACTGTTGGGGAATAATAAGTGAAAGCTTGGTGCGAATAACCTCAAGATTGGTCAAAGTGGAAGTGAAATTAAAATGGCTTATAGTGAATATGCTATGAAAAAAAAAACCGATGTTTTTTTGTTTTTTTTAGGGCAATACGATTCCAGTAGTAGTTTTACGTTTCATCAAACGTTTTGAATAATACAGAGGTGTGTGACAAGATCATTTCCGGTGTTGAAACATGGTTTTTTTTAATAGAACCGGAAACAAAACACCAGAGCGTTTAATGGAAAACAAAGAATTCGGCACGATTGAAAAAACGTACGAATATCTCACACACAATCATGATCATGCTTACATGTTTCTTTGATGACGTAGGGTGGGGATAATATTTGAAGTTTATTGCTCTTATTTTCTTGCAATCTTCTACGCTCTTAAAAAATAGGAATAAATAAAAGAAACCGTAGGGATTATATTACGATTATAAGTGTAATTAATTACAGGTAATTAAACTGTGGTTATTTATAATTGTAAGAACGATTGCTAAAACAGTACATACTAATTGTTAAAACTTACAATGCGTGTATAAACATTTCAATCTTATTACTGTTCGGGCAAATAAGGTCGCCTCGAGGGAATTGGTTACTAAAATCCCCCCATCCTCTCCCCTGGCACGTATTCCTGACATATCAGTGCGGGGGCATTTCTGTTTAGATATCAGGCGATGTGCAAGAGTGCAGGGAGAAGCTGATTTATGCCTTTCACATGAATATTCTTCTATGCGCCATTTCTCTTCAGGACGTAGGCTGTCATGGCTCTCCACAAATTTCCTTTCCTTTGTAGATCTTAATAGATTTTGTCTTTTTGCTATCTCTTGTAAACTTTCCTCTGGCATCCATTTACTCACTAGGTAGGTTATGCGTTGTTTTACTCTGTCCCTCTTGCCTTCGATCTGTCCTGTGAGTATCAAATTTTCTAAGCCCACTTTCCTCATTATGTACCCTAGTAGTTTCAACCGTCTCTTTATGATGTTAAGTATAAGTGTTCTTTTTGTTTCCATTTCTCTAAAGCTTAGTCGTTACATATATGCTCTGCCCATGGTATTCTCAGCATGTAGAACCACATTTCTGTTGTTTCAAGTCTCTTCTTCATCTGTGAAGAGACGTCAAGCATTCACTGTCATATAGAAGGAATAATATTACATAATATTTCAGTACTCTTTTTTTGTTTCTAAGGAATTTTTTTCTGTTTCTTAATACTTTGCTTAGACTTTGGAAAGCATCTTTCGCTATCTGTTGAAACTTTAATAATGCATGGAATAATAATGCAACACAAAATGTACTTAGAACAAAATGTATTGAAACAAGAAAGTGTACACAATATTTACATATAGTCTTTTGTATATTCCTGGTAAGACTGTTCCTGGAGAATGTGTTGACTGAGTCGCAGTCGGGCAGAGTCTCTGGTTGAATCTCTTGATTCCTCCTTTCTTCCCGGTACCAACCATATTTATATGGTCGGTACTCCACTATGCAAATTAGGTGGATCCTACCACAATACTATCTCAATGCGGCTTCGGATTTCAGTGTCGCATTTTTCGTTTTCTGTTAAAACACTTCTTTGATATTTAAATTATACGTGTTTGATTTTTGTATATCCATGTAATTTGCATGCTGGGCTGTTCTTTTTGCTAACACTCATGCATTCTGTCTTCTTGCAATTGATAGTTAGTCCTTTCTTCTCTCTTTCATTCACTACCTTCAGTATTAGTTCTTTCAGTTTCCTTTTTCTTGACTGCTATCAACACAGTATTATCTACATATCATATTTTTGTTAATATTGTGGCTACCAATAATGAGTCCTTGTCGCCTTACTGTATTGATTGAATAAATCCAGTGAGAAGACATGTCGTTGTCTTACACCCCTTCCCATTTTTGTAAATTTACTGAACTCATTTTCTATTGGCATGCAGGTGGTTTGCTGCCAGTATAGGTTCCTGATTATCCTAATATCCTTCCCAAATATGTCAAGGTTACCTAGCAGTTCCAAAGGGCCTTTGTGGCGTAGTTTATCAACCACTTTTGCATAATCTATAAAACACAGATACACACCTTCGGCATTTTTATTGCATTTATTGATATCATTATCATCATAATTATGGTAATCCTTGTTACAGTGTCCTTAACGAACTTGTACTGTTCTTGTTCTATTTCCGGTCTGATTTTGCTGCGCAAGATAGATATGAACAAACTAGGATAGATAGATAGATAGATAGATAGATAGATAGATAGATAGATAGATAGATAGATAGATAGATATGAACAATCTGGGATAGATAGATAGATAGATAGATAGATAGATAGATAGATAGATATAAACAAACTGGAGAGATAGGTAGATATAAACATAGATAGATAGATAGATAGATAGATAGATAGATAGATATGAACAAACTGGGAGAGATAGGTAAATATAAACATTATAGATAGATAGATAGATAGATAGATAGATAGATAGATAGATAGATAGATAGATAGATAGATATGAACAATCTGGGGTAGATAGATAGATAGATAGATAGATAGATAGATAGATAGATAGATAGATATGAACAATCTGGGATAGATAGATAGATAGATAGATAGATAGATAGATAGATAGATAGATAGATAGATCTGAACAAACTAGGATAGATAGATAGATAGATAGATAGATAGATAGATAGATAGATAGATAGATAGATAGAAACAAACTGGAGAGATAGGTAGATATAAACATAGATAGATAGATAGATAGATAGATAGATAGATAGATAGATAGATATGAACAAACTGGGAGAGATAGGTAAATATAAACATTATAGATAGATAGATAGATAGATAGATAGAGAGAGAGAGAGAGATAGAGAGAGAGAGATAGGGTGATGATGACTGAAAAACTGTTTACGTATCATGTATTTCAGAATTTATAAGTGGACACTTAAATCGGTGACGAATACATAATCATAATAGGGTTCTTCGATATTTGAGACAAGCGCTATCGCCGAGTCTTCTGACGTCTCTTCACGTTAGAATGTTCAAGCTATTTTCTTTGAAATATTACGACGCAATCTAATCTTCGTTTTCTTGAGAAGTCAGCAATATTGAAAGGTTACTCTTTGAAGGAGCTAAAACATGACACAGACTTGATTGTATGTCTGAATAATTATATGTGCTGTGCAAAAAACTGAACATTTCCAATACGAGAAGACAGGAAAGTTGCTTTGAGTAGAGATTTTTTTTAGAAAAAACCTCACCTGACAAGCATAAATTCTAAAGGACTCAACAAAAAGATATCAAGAAAAGACCTCGGAATCTTTTTAAAATGTTACTTTCCGCGCTTAATCATTTTTTGGCTAGTCACTTTTTTTATTTTCTTCTTTATTACGATTCTATGATTGTCATTGAGAATCGGTAATTAAAAATGAGTCGTTTACGAAACATGAACTCACAAATGGAAGTTGCGATAAGAAGCAGAAGAAACTAAGATTAACTAAATGTTCATTATAGAAATATTGAATAATATCCTTCATAATCTATTCATGTTCTTAAATAACCCCGTCAGATCGTAATTATCTTATGGATGCCATGCACGACCCCGAGTTCGTTCAGAAATATCTAAACTGTCACCTGTATGCAACTATATCAAAGATCTATACTTAAAATAGCTTTGAGCTGGTTTACAAAACTCGAAGAAGGATGGTCTTTGCCAAGATTATCCTTCTTCGAAACATGTGACCTGGTGCTACAGAATCACAAAGAACTGTATCAAATAACAGAAACCAAATCACTTCAGAACTTTCAACAGCAACTGACATGGATATCACATGTAAGTTGAAGAGAAGATAATTATATAATCATAATAATGACATTAAATGCTTCTCCAAATAAAAGGTTACGAAGGAAAAACGCATCAATACTCCGTCCTAGGTATGACGATAAACTACATCCGCGTTCTGGGTAAGACGATAAACTACGTCCAGCAGCAAGGCCTCTGATCAGGAGGTTTTGAGGAGCGTGGAACCAACTCTTAATTTCTGGTGTTCCTAGGTCCACCCTGACCCGGGGTGGTAGCACCTGTTAGGGTCACACCTATGGGAAAATAGTTAACCCCCAAATGGGGGTCAAAACACTATGAAAGTGTAAAAAAAAGTTTCAATACCAGTAATACATTTTTCGAGGAAAAAATATTACCAGCAATATATTATTGCTAGCATTATATTTTTAGAAAAAAATATTACCAGCAATATATTATTGCCAGCATTACATCTTTTTTAAAAAATATTACTAGCAATAAAAATCTTGTCGCCATTAAATAACCCATTGACGTTGATATGCCGTAAAACAAAACAAACCAAAGCAAACCGCATCATTACTGGAAAAGCGATTTGGGCCACTTGACTTGAGAAACATATTTTCCTGAAAAATTGGAAAAAAAAGATCTTATAAATTTCAATCATTGACCGAATCATGAATCGGTCAATGAATACCAAAATACCAAATATTTTCTTTATAAGGAAACAGCTAATAACACCAGTACCATTTTGTTATGTGGCCTTACTTCATCTCATTAACGTTGCATTTTATCTCCAACATTCTGAGTCAATATATTCTTTATTATTACTGTTGTTTTAACATAGTTTTACATTATCTTATTACAATTGCTTTTTAGCGCAACAATATGGTCTAATAGAGTCTTCAGTATTGCTATTATTCTATGACAAGTTTTATTCCAATTTATTATTGCTGCTTTTTATCCCAACGATACGCGTCAATACGCTCTTCATTATTATTATTATTAACTTATTATTTATTTTACTCCGTGTTATTAACATTATTTTTATCGTAACACGCTGGGTTGATCTATATCATTAGTTTTGCTTTTGCTCTGGATTGATATAATCTTCAAATAAATAACGTGAAATTAAAAATAAAGAAGGGAATATACAGGGAAGAACTCGTAAGTCATATATTTGGAGTCCGTTTTGTAGGACGTTATTATAATCATTTCAATAAAGGAAGGATCGATGATTATTATTCTGTTAAGCCATTGATTCTCGCCGCTACACGTTCTTTTTTGTTGATGTTTGTTTGTTTTTTTGCTATTTAGAAAGTTAATCTTTAAATCACCTTTAAAAGTTTTACATGTATTTCCTTTCGCACATTGTTGCATTACTTATTTTGCCATATTTTATGCGTGTAGCATTTATTCAATCTACCAGGAAGAGCATCGATGCAGTGAACCTTGGTAAAAAGCAGCAATAATACGATGATAAAACTAGCGATTAAATTCTCTTTTCAAAGACACGAGTTCTGTTCGAACTTTGCTTTTCCTTCAGTTCACAGGCCAAGCTAATGTTTGAAGAAAAATGTTTTCATATTAATTATTTCTTTCAATACAATTATCATTATTATTTATTTTTTAATTAATTTATTTATTATGCAATTATTAGTGATTAAACAATCCTATTTTATACATATAAATTTAGAATCATCGCAGAAATTCTAGTATGGTGAGAAGTTGAAGCGGTGAACACGTCGGAAGAAAAATGGCGTGGAACACTTCTTAGTTAAAAGTTAAGAGCAAACATAAACCAATAAGTAGAAAACCTACAATCTTTTGCGGCGAGACCCAATCGAGAGCTTCAGTTTACTCTGTTCAGCCTGTCTAATGGAATCCAGCTTCGAAGATGCTGCAAGCCTGCATCCAACACATACAGACACACACATATATTTATATATATGTGTGTGTGTGTTGTGTGCATGTATTTATGTGTGTGTGTGTATTTAGGCAGCATAGCTTCATTCAAACATGTTTCATTGAATAATATAAACAGACATATTGTGTGTACTTATTTTTATACTGATTCTTTCCAGTTCTCTGGTCAGTTTCTTGATGTCAAGATGAAATTCATCAAGGAAGGTACCGTAGTTTTTTCCAACTCAAGTACTTTCGATCTCCTCCAAGATCATTCTCAGGAGTAAATTACAATGACAAAGTTATTGTAACTGCGATAAAATCTGCATTTGTTTGTAATTTCTTTTTAAAACACGGGTGAACGCTCTCTGATATAATTATTTTAATTCATCATTGTTGAAGACAGACTAGCCACAAATGTACACGAATCACAAATGTAACCTAGTCTACATAGCAACGCAGTGTCATCTACTTTCTTTAAACCTAATACCTAATAACTCAAAAACGAAGGATTTTCTGACATATGTTTATATGGACTTTTTTCCTTGTTTTGGTGTGAAGAACCCACCCACACACTTCGTATGTTTGATACACCTAGTATATATATATATATATATATATATATATATACATATATATATATATATATATATATATATATATATATATAGAGAGAGAGAGAGAGAGAGAGAGGAGGGGGAGAGAGAGAGAGACCTTAATTAAATCTTTATGGACTATATGAAAATTGCCCCATTCACCGGCCTCCATAGAGCTTTCACCCAGTTACACATTTCTTCCTTCATTTGATGTACTTATGGAGACTATTCTTCTTGGACTCTTCTGGTTAGAACTGTAAGCAGGAAGGACACCACTTCATTTATTAATGTATTATTATCCTGGAAGTGCTTGTATTTCAAAAAAAAGAACTCTTGGAAGACAAGAGGGTGGAAATTAGATAGTGCCAGGTCAGAAGAACAAAAGAATTTTTAGCCACATTTTTACTTCCATTTGTGAAACATAGATGTCTTCTGATACATTGTCTTGCAATATGTGGACACCTTTGCTAACAAAGCACATCTGTATTTTGATAGCTACCAATAATTTCAACTGCTAACATATATGTTACTCTTACTGTACTGCCTTTGATCCTAGAAAACTGTCAGTATCAACTTGTCAGCAGAGAATTGGACACTTGCCTTTCGGGTACTGTGCTTGTATTGTCTGGGACTATGCTTAGGTCTTTGCATAAAAGTGATAAACCCACATTTCATCTTGGGTAATTAGTTGGAGGGGAGCGGAGAAAAGTTTTTAACTTTTCTGCCACATAGCTAAATGTTCATGGAAACGAGTAAATCTGGTTTCCTTTTGAGAAGATAATCCAAAAAATCATAACACTGACATTGTCTGCATTTGCATGTGTCCATTCACTATTATTTCCCGATATGCCACACTAATCTTGACACTGTTCACTAGTTCTTGAATGCTTATGTGGTGATATCCTTAAGATGACAGTCTCCACTTATTGGATGGTGTCACCATCAATGGCCACTTAAGGAGCTATTTTTACTGAAATCTGACTATATTTCAGATGCCAATATCAGTATTTAATAACACTACAGGATGAAGCATATGTCGTCATCTCTTTCAAAATTGTTTGTGATGCATTGTGTTTTATAAAGAGGAACTTGATTACAGATCTATACTCTACTGGTTCCATGGTCTTTAATGCACATTCACATGTGAAATGTAGAAATATTTATTAGTACAGGTCTGCAAATTGAATTGTGCTGATACATGTTTCTATATCTGTAAATTGGGGTAGGACAAATGACTCTCCTTTATAATAATCTGAAAGACCAGCTTGCTAACCATTATCGTATGGTGATGCATTCAGAGGCATAATCTGGAAGTTCATCTACTAATTAAACATTGATTCTTCTCTACAATTTTATTGTAATGTTCATTGAAGTCACTAAAAGCAAGTATTAAACAAAAAGGCTTTCAGCTTTCTACTTGTTTACTGAAGATCTCTAAAAATTAATCCCAAATACAGTGTTTGATTATTAGTGCTTTTTTTTCTGGACAGATAACCAACAAACTCACCACAATGATATTTTCTGCATCTGCAGGAATCTATTCACAGACCCCACTGTCTCCGTAAGATGTCAGTTTCTACTTGTTGAATGGTGTCACCATCAGTGGACGACTAAAGGCAGCCAGCCAGAAATAAGAGCAATTTTTACTGAAACCTACCGATATTACAGATGTCGATATCAGAACTTAATAAGACTACAACATTGTGTATCTGGTCCATATACTGAAATCATCTCATTGGAAACTGTTTGTGGTGGGCGACTTTTTAAATCAGGAAATTTATCACAGCTCTATACTCGACTGCCTCCACGGTTACACCTTACTGCACAGAAATATTGATTGATATTGGTCTCAAAATTAAAGTTTACCCAACATAATGACGCAGATTTCTACATTAACAATTTAACATTAACGATTCACATACGCCCGCGTAGAAGCTTTTGATCTCTGTCGGGTCTGGTTAGAAACTGATGATTGGGCAACTCCAGCCAAGACGAAGGAACAATACTCCATGAGGCGAAAAAGTTTCTCTTAGATTTTCTGACACATAGCGGAAATGTCCTCGGGAAGCAAATGATTCTGGCTTGCTTCTGTAAAGATAAAAATAAACAACAAACTCACCACACTGACATTTTCTATACGTTCATTCACAGACTTCCACCTAGAGGAGTGACCGCTTGAGAATAACAGGTGCTGTAAGTTTGGATGTGCGGGCGGTGTAGTGGATAATGGCTCAGGGTTGTTAATCGAAGAGCCGAATCCCAATTCCATTTGGGTTCGTTATATTCACTTATGAGCAAATAATCTTGGGAGATGTATGAATCCACTTCTTATCCCCGCAGCTATGAGTTAATAAGTAAGACTTTTATCACTAAAATCACTAAAAAATAAAATAAAATTGCGTGCAAAATATTTAGATTTCGGCATTAAATAACCCATAGAGGTTGATAAGCCGCTGAACAAATTCAACCAATCGTAAAGAAATTTATTTTTTAATCATGTAAATTGACGTATAAAACATAATTCAATAAAACATACTTTTTTTTAATTATCTTTTAATATCGTTAACCGCTCTGAAACTAGTTTCAAACAATACTGGAAACGAGTATATAATCGTTTTTTAGGCATTTTGATAGGATATTTACAAATGCTAGACCCAAGAACAAAATGATTTGGTCATTTGGTTCTGATCTGGAGCAGTTGGTTAGGCCGAGAACTTTTCAGCACACACTAGTGTACTATAAAATACCAATGAAAAACATGAGAAGGCAGCCTAACTTATGTTACAATGAAAACTAACTCGGACGAAGTATTTTTTACGGACAGGGAAACAAAGGTACACAAAAACCCACAATCTTAATTATACACACACACACGTGTGTATGTGTGTGTTTAAACTTGCTATGATCCATGTTGAAATTCAAAAATTGAGGTCGTTCTATTTCTGGAACGCTGTTAAGGATGAAAAAAAACTTTTACGAAGAATAGGCAAGTAAAAATAAATTATTTAAATATTCGGTTGAATCAAGAATAATTCCCGTTTTTTGGGCACCAAATGTAATAATAAATGTACCATCCTAACTACTAATCATATGTAGTAGTTAAGAATAAATTTGAAGTACACTAATATACCTTATGTTTTACACGGCAATGGCAGCGTACATAGTGGATGAAAGGAAAAATGTTGTTCTTCTACATGATAACTCAAGACCACAATAGAGCAAGAACATCACAGGAAATCATTTTGGTCGGTTGGTCTGTTCTATTTCACCCGCCACATTCGCCTGATCCAAACAATTATTACTTTTTTTCCGACTGCTGCAAAACGCTTTGATGGAGACAAATTTCTCTAATGAAAACCTTGACTGAAGGTTTCGCCGAAAATATTTCCACATCAAATCCTCTCGAAAGATCTTGAAGATATAACAGATGATAACAAGTCATTGTAAATAACTGAGGATAAAATTGAATAAAATGTAATTGTATTTTTTTAAAAATAATGTTGATAAACAAAAGCGTAAATCATGTTTGACTCAAGCTAATAATATAATTATAGCAAAGTTTTCAACTATACCAATGTCGTCATTTTTGTAACCGTTATAATGAAACAAGAGAGGAAATTGTGTTTGAGGAATTACTCCATGTTGTAGAACTTTGACAAAGTAAAGTAATGAGTCAGCGATGATTGACTAAAATATATATTTGCTTTGTTCAGGCTGATTTAATTAAACAGATTGTTTAATTAACCCAGCTTGTTAACACATATAAACAAGTGAAATCATTAGCAATATATTTTATTTCTTTTCGTGCTTCAAGGATTGATTCAAATAACAGGATGCCACGTTTCTAAGTAGTGATGCAATTTACCGCCATATTGATATATACTGTTGATATACCACTTCTTTTAAGTTCCATATCATTTCAAATCATTCAGGACCTGAACTGGCTTACCATATTTTCACCAAAGTAAAGCAACGTAAAACCTGGTCAGTACCTAGATGGGTGACCGCTTGGTAATACAAGGTGCTGTAAGCATGTATGTGTAGTTGGTGTATTGGCTCGGATTTTTTTTTATGCATTTCACACCAAGCAAGGTGGAAGTGCCACTAGCACGCAAAGGGTTACAGAGAATAAAAGAGTAAAGCGGCGTGTTTGAGGAAAGGTTAAAGAGAAGGAGAGAGATCAAGATCAAGACATCAGAAGATGTCGATTGACATTACATTTAAAGCAAAGCAAGTAAGAGGAAGGGAGTTACACTGTCGGAAAGTGCGAAAGAAGAAGCTGTTGAAGCAGAAGAGGCGGTTAAGTTTAACTTTAAAAGGCAGCCAACCGAGATGCAAACCTAGTAGCACGCATAAATTCATGCGGTTGGGTAACCAGTGAAAATAGCTCGTCAGAGCAGTTGCCATGACAATATTTGTAGAAAAGACAGAGGGAAGCCACATCACATCTCTGAGAAAGTGATTGGAGTCGAGATGCCAGGTCAGGACCTATCACGTTGCGTGGGGCACGAGACCATATATGGCAACAGTATTCAAGATTTGAAGGATGGACTCAGACAAAAATAACCTTCTGGCGCGACAAAGAGAAGCAACTTTCGTTGCGGTAGATGTAGCTATTGATTCAATGTAGTTGTTCCACCTCAGATCAGTGGAAAACATGAGAACATTAGAAGGCGCAGAGAGATGTTCACGTGAAGTTGAGCATCAACCATGCTGAGGTTTCTCTATGGTGGTTAAATGAGAGCAATTTCTTTTTGGAGACATTAAACTTTACAAGCCATTTCCTGCCCTAGTCGACCACAAATTGGGGATACTTTTCGAGACCAACGACCAGGTTGATTTTGTCAGCAATGACGGATTTACTATTGAGACAGGAGTAAATAATAGTTTCGTCTGCGTAGATGCCTACTTGAGATGCGATGACATTAGGAAGATTGTTGATGAAGATCAGAAACAGTGTAGGACCTTGGATAGAACCTTGGGGAACACCAGCGTTTGTATGAAAGTGACTGGAGAAAAACCCGTTTAGAGCGACCTTCATTTTACGGTTTGACAGGAATTATTGGATTAAATCAAATAATCGTTCTCTAATACCGTATCCCTGAAGCTTATATAGAAGGCCGGCATGTCAAACCCTGCAAACGCCTTAGATTGGATAGCCGGGTTCGAATTCTAGTTGGGTTCGTTATATTCACTTACGCGTAAATACCCCTGGGAAAGTTATGAATCTTCTGCTTCTCAACACTTCCACCCAACCCCCAGCTAGGGGTTAATTATTAAGTCTTGTATCACTAAACCATTATGATTCCCAAAATGTTCTTACTATCTAAAATTATTTTCTGGTTTTAAATAAGCTGCACAAGGGTTGATAAACCATAAAAGCGTATCAATCAATAGTCTTAATTCAGGCTACAAGAATAAATATTAGGGGACGAGCAGACTTTACTAGAAAATAAAGTTATACCCTCCCCCATTTATATATGATTATAACGTTAGAACGCTCGCTATCTGAGCAGTAGATCCGTGTAGATAGATATGTAGACCTTAGTAGATTTATTAAGAAGGTGACTTTTTGAAGTTATCGGTCTGGGGTAGGCGATCCTAACGTGCCTGAAAACTATACCATGGATGAAACTATTTGGGAGCCGTCGATGGTTGTACTAGCACGGAGTCAGAAGTCATCGTGACCGAGAGTTTGAGTGTTCTGGCGTTGTTCAGTCTGTTGATCACGCCAGATAATACGTTCTCTACCAGAAAGTGTAACTAAGGTTCGCACAGTTCAGGCGGGCTCTGTGGGTGTTGAACAAACACAAAGGTGCCTGAGCAGCCATTCTCGGAAACGAGTGGCCAGCCATTATTTTACGATATATACTGTCCTGTAGATAGATAGATAGATAGATAGATAGATAGATAGATAGATAGATAGAGATATGAACAGAGCGAGACAGAACGACCGATTTAGTGAGCGATAGATATTAAGCTAAAATTACTATTAATACAGGCCTATGACCACATCAGATTAAAACACAGGTTCCAGTAAGATCACTGAAGTTAAGCAAAGTCGAACCTGGTCATTAGAGATGTGACTACCTGTTTAATTAACCAAGCTTGTTAACACATATAAGCAAAGGAAATCATTAGCAATATATTTTATTTCTTTTAAGGATTGATTTAAATAACAAGATGTTCAGTTTTTAAGTAGTGATGTAATTTACCGCGATATTGATATACACTGTTTATATACCAGTCCTTTTATGTCCCATGTCATTTCAAATCATTCAAGACATCAACTTGATCTGGGCTTACCATACTATCACCAAAGTTAAGCAACATAGAACCTGGTCAGTAACTATATGGGTGACTGCTGTTATTCATCATGACGGTCGTCTTCGAGTATAGAATCCAGAGGTTAGCAGTGAATATTTCGAAGACAGTAGGAAAGCGTTGTTCATGTTAGCAGTGGATATTTCGGTAAAAAGTACTTCTTTCGTCCTTCTGTTTCTCTTCGCCTAACAAGCTGGACTGGACATTCGGGTAGAGTGAACAAAATGGCCGCCTTTATACACGACGGATTCAATATTTTACGTCTTCTGATTGGTTAACCTTCTATTAGTGGACTATAAAGTGAGTTAAGTCATTTAAGCTAACTCACTAGATTTATATACATATACACAAAAAACTGTAACAACTGCTTGGGAATAACAGGTGCTGTAAGCTTGGATGTGGCTCGGAATTGGAAGTCGGAGAGCCGAGTTCCAATTCCAGTCGGGTTCGTTATATTCACATACACAAATAACCATGGGAAAGGTATGGATCCACCTGTTCCCCCAGATATGGGTTAATTAGTAGGACTTTTATCAGTAAATCATTATTATCACCAGAAAGCATACTTACAATCTTTACCAGCTTTAAATAACCTGCAAATGATAGATAAGCCATAACAATAATCAATCAAAATTGATCTTATTAGGCACACCACCTTATTAAGTATGTTGCAAGAAACGCAATACACGCAAAGGGGTTACTTGATTTAAGTAGGGATTTATTCTACGAAAACGGAATATGGCACAATGGCGGTTTCCCACGCGTACATTGGATTAGTGATAAAAATTGCTCTGACTCCCTTGGTACTCGTCGCTTGGTAAGCCTCAGACACCAAGGACTGGCTCTAACCCTCCTCTTATTAGTGAATTGGGAGAGATGTTGACTAGAGGATGAGATTCATAACCAGAGAACTGTACCAAGGACTGCTAACAGCTGCAACAACTAAAATGGATAGCACATATAACTCAAAGAAAGAATAATGTACCAAATAACAGAAAACACATCAATTGAGAAATATCATCGGCAGCGAACATAATTATCACATGTAAGTCGAAAAGAAAATAATAACATAATGAAGATGTTGACATTCCACGCTATTTCACATAAATGTTTGGGAAGGAAACCTCTTCAATACTGGAAAGAGCGATAACAGTTGTTGGACTTCAGAAACCTATTCTCCTGATAAATTGTTTTAAGAGAAAGATTTTATAAATTTCAACCGACACCAGCACTGACTATTCGGTTAATAAATGCCGAATGTTTACTTATAAGGAAACGGCTAATAATACCAGTACCATTTTGTTAGGAGTCTTACTCTTACTTCATATCATTATTGTTGCCTTTTGTTTCAAACATTCTGAGTCAATACACATTTATTACTATTGTTTTACCATAGTTTTATACCATCTTATTATCATTACCGTAGTTTTATACCATCTTATTATCATTGCTTTTTACCACAACAAACTGGGCCAATTATCCCAAAACTCTGGGTCGATACAATCTTCATTATTATTATTAGCTTATTAATAATTTTACTCTGTTTTATTAATATTATTTGTTATAGCAACACGCTGGTTTAATATACTCTTTATTATTACCATCATTTTACTATAGTTAAGGAAACGCCTAATATTACCATTATCGTTACCATTGGGTAAATGAAATATCCAAACTTCTATGAACGAATAATGATGTAATAACAAAGCATATAAGGAAATCATATAATTTTTTCTGTGTCAGAAGAAATGATTCAGTACAGCTTATCATTTATGAAGCACGTATGTGCACATAAATGACAAAATCTAGAGTTAACATATTGATGGCTCGTAAGCAAAACAATATATATATCTCTGTGTGTGTGTGTGTGTGTGTGTGTGTGTGTGTGTGTGTGTGTGTGTGTGTGTGTGTGTGTTTTACTGAAATAACTTCATATTGTATTTTTCAGGTTTTTTGATGAACTGTATGGACAGGAAATTGTAAATGTAATCCAGGAAAGGAAATACGAAATGTTTTATAGAAAAAAAACTTTTAAAATGCTATTAAAAAGAAAAAAAACTATATCGAAAAGTAAAGCAGATTTATTCAGAAAAAAACTTGATTCAAAAAAGAAAGATGATCATAACCGAAAAAAAAAACTAGATAGAATAGAAAGAGACATGATTTTTTTTAATGAATATATGCAGAGACTTACAAAAATAGGAATGGGGAAAATATAATGGAAAGAGTGGAAACTGGGAGATTAAAAAAACGGGAATGGAAGATAAATATCTGAAAAGGAGAAAAAAATATTAAAAACAACAGCAAAATTTATGAAAAGAATTTTTTAAATACTTGGAATTGAATTCAAGAAAATAAAAATGATTAGAAATGCAGAACAAAAAAAAAGAATTCTTCTACATCCCTCGATTTTAAAAATGGACAAATATCAAACAGCCTAGTTAAAGAGAAAATTTAACGAAGAAAATTTAAACACCGAAAGATTTTCTTTCTTTCTTTCTTTCTTTCTTTCTTTCATTCATTTTATTTCATTTATTTATATCTTCTTTTCTTTCCTTATTTATAATTTCTACAAAGACTACAACCTTATTTACCTCAATTTTTTGTAAAATTTTTCAGGGCTTAAAACGTATACAACCTTCTGGGTCAAACAAAAAGAGAAAAAAATTCGCTTTGTAAGAAGAAATATAACCGTTTCCTTTCTACACCTTTTTTCTTTAAGTTCCTTTTTTTTATTCCCTAGATCTTATCACTAGAAACAATGTATGTAAATATATAAAGTGCGTCTGCAAAAGACTTCCGAATGTAACACTACGATAATACAGTAAAGAACGAACTCAGACAAATATGACTCTATAAAAGCAAAATAAGGTCTTCTAAGAGCCGTGGAATGAAATCAATTGGTTTTTATCGCTGAACCTATCATTTTTATATCCTCGTAATAATCCCTTGAAATGTTATTTAATATCAGTACTATGGCAGTGAATACTAGACAATCTCCTCACAGGTAAAAAAGAGATCTGAAGCAGCAGAAATATAGTTCTAGAGAAGAATGCTATGAATAACACGGACTAAACATGAACAGGAAAATGGAAACAAAGCGGACGCTTATACTTAGAATCAGAAAGAGACGGCTGAAATTTCATGGACACGTAATTAGGAAAGGGCCTGAAGAATCTAACACTCACAGGACATCTTGAAGACATGAACATGAAAGAATTAAGGAACTTTATACAGTAATAAAGGAAGCCAACAAATTCAAAATGGAGTTTCAAATGGGTATGAAATGCAAGCAAAGCATAAAATACCGCCAGTAGCTGCAAAATACTTAAAAAAAAAAAGAAAAGCAAAGGCAAATGCAACCGACCAGATACAGAATCTGCTTTATGATCAATATTCTTCCCGTACCAAACAAGCTGATGTAGACAAACCCCGTATCCATTATTGACTATGTAATACAGGGTCAAATGCTGAAGGTTTTCAGAGTCTGTCTATATTTCTGAGATGAGGTATTATGTACATTATTTACATTATTCGAACTATTGTCCTCATCTTTGTCGCCATATTTATCACAACGTTTCAGCCGTTGTACGCTCCGGCCTTCTTCAGGTGGTTGGAATGTCGAACCGAACCCTTTATTTCGCTCACCGGGGTAGACTGTTCTAGTTCCACGTGCCATGTTTAATGGATGTCAGTTATCAGTTATCTCCTGTTAATTTCCCTCTGAAAGTTCTCTACTTCCTTAACCGGGTATTGAACTCACACTCTTTGGGTCCTGTCACTGGATCTAACCAACGCCTTTATCCACTGTGCCATGTGTCCATAAAGGGTTCAGTTCGACATTCCAACCACCTGAAGAAGGCCGGAGCGTACAACGGCCGAGACGTTGTGATAAATATGGCGACAAATATGAGGACAATAGTCCGAATAAAGTAAATAATGGACCGAAGGTTTTATTCTTGCTGCACAAGACCAATGCTTGCTAGAAATTACCAAACACTGAGTATCATACTGAAAAATTGTGTTACCCTAAAAAGCAGATTATGCGATAAATATCCAGAAACAACTGACAATCTTGTATCAGTTTGCGTGGTATTGGCACTCACTGAACAGAGTGAATGCTGGACAATCTTCTCACAGATGAAGAAGAGACTTGAATCAACAGAAATGTGTTTCTACAGAAGGATGCACAGAACACGTTTGACAAAACGGGTGAGTAACGACAAAGTTTTAGAGAAACAGATTGAAGGCAAGAAGTTAGGAGAAAAGCAAACCCATAACTTTGCTAGTTTTAGTAAATAAAGGACGGAGCAAGGTTTAGCAGGGATAATAAAAATAAAAATTTATTAAGAGCTACAAAGGACAGGAAATTGTGGACAGCCATGATCGCCTACGTTCTGAAAAGGCATAGTATATAGAAGATGTGCCCTTAAGAAAATGGCCTGCAGATATCTTCCGATTTCATTAGATGAATTGAAACTTATATCTTCTTTTGCTTCTATTTTGGGCCGTATAGCTTCAGGATATGGACGATCATGGCTCACCACAACTTCCTTTCTTTTGTAGCCTTTAGTAAAGTTTGTCTTTCTGCAATATCTCATAATCCCTGCCCTAACACTGCTTTTCTCTTTTCCGTATTGCCTTCAATAGCCCTGTGAGTGTCTTATTTTCCAAGCGCTCTTTTCTCATATCGCTATATACTTATCCACATTTTAAATGCCAATTCTCAGAACAAAAGTCGCGTCGACGAGCTAGAAAAAAAAAACAGTGGTTCGACTAAATTTCGGCCACTGTTAGGATATATTCAGAATAAATCTTCTTTTTATCTGTGATATCTTTTCAAGGCGTAACCAATCATGACACTTCACAATTTCATTCCTTTATTGGTTCTACACAATATGTGTGTTCTTACTATCCCTCCTAGTCCTGATTCTGATATTCATTTACACCATCCCGTTCGATAGGTTACTTTGCTCATCTTGCTTTCAGTATGTCCTGTGAGTATCAAATTCTCCAAGCCTTCTTTCCTATTATTGCGTCATGTGTCATTATGTGTCAGTGAGCAAATGGGCGAACGACTTTCCAATATCTGTCAACGTCACCTTTAAAAACCTGTTGCACTTATTTTCGCCTCTGAGAGGGGTCAACATATTTCATTCGGCAGTATAATTAAAATTATTTCCCATGACAAGTGAGAGAGAAAGGGAGATAGAGAAAAAAGGAGAGATGAAGGGGAGAAGGAAAGGGAGGAAGAGAGAGAAAGTGGGTGAGAAGGGGAGAGAGCGGAAAGGAGAAAGAGAAAGGTAGATATAGGGAAAGAAAGGGAGAGAGAGAGAAAGAAGGGGAGAGAGAAGGAGAGAGAGAGAAAGGTAGAAAGCTAAAGGGAGAGAGAGAAAGGGAGAGTGAAAGGAGAGAGAAAAAGACAGAGAGAAAGGGGAGAGAGTGAATTGGGCAGAGAGCGAAAAGGAGAAAGAGAAAGGTAGATATAGGGAAAGAAAGGAAGAGAGAGAAAGAAAGAAGGAGAGAGAGAGAGAAAGGTAGAAAGCTAAGGTGAGAGAGAGAAAGGGGGAGAGAAAGGGGAGAGAGTGAATGGGTGAGAGAGAAAATGACGTGCAAAGTGCTAGGTGCGTAACGGTTATCGGTTGGGAAAACAGAATTAACAATGTTCGATATTTTTCTACGCTTGTTTGTGTTCTGCCAGCACTAAAACTCTTGTAAAAAGCCAGGACAGATGCATTTTGTCGCATTGACAGACATATTACTATAAAATCTCTTGTCGCCGGTATGTTCAACACACTAACGACCACCTTAATATCCGGTATTAATTTAAAAAAATTAAAATAAATGTTCAGTATTAACAATTCGTTTGAAAACAACCCTGTATTAAGAAGAAAAACAGCCGCTATTACTTATATATTTGTGATAAAACCGATGTCAGTATTAGGTATCTACATTCTTTTTATGTGCGAGGCGATCATGGCTCTCCACCTCCCTCTATCCCTTGCTGCTCTCAACAAGTTCCTTCTCTCTCTTCCTCCCCCAGACCACGTTCTGTCATCCACTTGCTTAAGCACGCCGGGTATGTCACGCCTTGTTTTTCCTTGTTTTTCTTTCCCTCTATTCGACTCGTGTGTATCACATTCTCCAGGCCCTCTTTATCATGTGTCCCAGAAACTTCAGCTGCCTCTTCCTTATGTTAAGCATAAGCCTCCTTTTTGTTTGCGTCCTCTCTAAGACTTCATCGCTGCTCACACGCTTGGTCCATGATATCATTAGCATCCTTCTGTAGAACCACATCTCTGTCGTCTTGAGTCTCTTCTTCATCTTTGAGGAAATCGTCTAACATTCACTGTCGTAAAGAAGGACAGATGTCACGTAACAGCTCTATATTCTTTTCCTTTGTTACCAAAGAAATCCTCCTGTCTCACAATACTCTGCCCAGCTTTTGGAATGCGTCCTTGGCTATCTTAATACGTCTATGGATGTCAGTGTCGCATTTAACGTTTTCTGTCAAAACGCTTCCCAGTTATTTAAAATTCCGTGTCTCCTTGATTCTTCAAATCGTACTTCGATAAACTATTAATAGCACCTGTCCCAAAAATGGAAAGTGCGCTTAATGACTTAAGGTAAAAAGTTGGTGAATGTGTGCTATGTCAAGGGATTCACCCATAACTCCCATATTATCCAGGCAGAAGCAGCAGCAGCAGCAAAAGGGTATTGTTACCTTTGTCAGCAGTTATATGTGAATCTCAGCTCATAATGTTTTTATAGTCTGAAATTATATTTTTACCAGCTATGGTTAAATAGCAGGACAGACGTGGCAACCAGTCTAGGATATGGAAACTCTTAATTTAAACCAACCGCTGTCTTGTTGGTCCTGCCTCTTTAGGCAAAGGCTAGAAGAAGGTAACTTCGAAAACAAATCCACCTTTGAGAGTACCCGGAACAGGAATCCAGCACGCCATTGCACTGTTCTGACTTGAATATCACCTTGAACCACAATTGTGAGAGGGAGGGGAGTGATGCCCACAGTGGCGGCGCAAAATGATCTTCATGAATTTAAATTCAATGTCAATAGTTATCTCCTGTCTTCTTAATTCTTATGTCCTCTCCTTAACAGTAGTTTTCTGATATTCTCTAACACTCAGTAACCGCTTGCGTCCTAGTGGCTTTATTGCCTTGTTTGGGGTGAAATTATTTTAAAATAACTCAATAACCTTATAAACTGAATGTTTTTAAGAAAAATATTATGTTATTTGTTGGTGAAAAATTTATTAAACAACTGGCGAATTCTTCATCGTATTGTAAATAAATATTTATATAATTTTTAAATGCTATGTCTCTTCAGCACTTAAGCGATCACGACCCTCCACAGCTTTTTTTCTTTTTAGTATTAGCGAATTACCATGGCATCTTGACAAAGATAGTGGATTGGCATCCTCTTTGAATTCAGAGTTTTCGTTCTACTAGACTGGCTTCCAAACATGTCTAATGTGCCATTTAAACTATAGCTGTGGGACGAGGAAAAGACAGATTAGGTATCTTTTCCAGTAGTATTTGTGCGATAGAGAACAACAAACTACACAGGAATTGAAATCCGGTTACGCCGATTTCACTTTGCACACTGAATATCAGTTATTGCCGTCATACTTTTTAAAAAAAATTGATGTATAAACATCGCCATGGGTTATAAGAAAGATATTACAGAAAGAAGATGCTACAAAATTATCGAGTGGTGGGAACACAACGCTGAAAAATTGTAAAACATTTAAACAAAGGTCAGAAACCAACCGAAAAGGTCAGACAACAACCCAAAAAGAAATGAAAAACATTGGTAAGAACAAAAAATGGTTTTAAGAAGGCTACAAAAAGGATATTTGAGAAAAATAAAAGGGTTATAAACAAAAAAACAAATCAATCGACTAGAAAGGAAATATTTGAAGAAATTGGTGTTGTAAAGAAAGTAAAGGTGCAGAATTTTAAAGAACATTGTCTAAAACTTATAAAAGTGACTAAACAACCACATAAAAAAATAACAATCACAAAGAGAAATATGTATTTTAGATGAACAAATAGATGAAAACCTAATTTTCGACAACACAAAAATACCAGCTATTTTATTCTGGCACACTTGCATGTTTCTGAGTTTACTAATTGGTGTGTCTATTTACATTTATATCTTGGTAGGCCGATGAACTTTTCAGTCGGCCCTCGTATTTTGAAAAAAAAAAAACAGTATTCAAAATTTCATTTTCGTCATACTTCGTTCATTGTTAGCCGAAATAGCGCCATAATTGGGGGGGGGGTCCTCTCTAACGTGAATTCACGGACCAGCACTTTAATCCCTGGGCGATTCTTACAGACTTAGACTAACTGGAACGATAGCGATAAATAACTGAGCAGCACTATAATTTATAAGACTGCCATTTAATCATGCATTCAATATCACTGTCACATCTCTCCTGGTGGTTCTGCTATGTATTTAAAAGTTATTGATAAAATACAAAGAAGAATCTGCAATGTTATTGGGTCTAACCTGGCCTCTCGATTTCAGTGACGTTCTCACCGCCGTAACGTAGATTCCCCGTCCATTTACTACAAATATTTTGATGGTAATTTTTCTGATGTACTTTTCTCTCTTGTACATTGACTTTACGAATTTAAGCGTCGTACCAGATTAGTGGCAAGGTCTTATTATCTTACAGTTGAAATGTTTAGACGTAGCCGTAAGTTCTATGCTAACACATTCTTCTCTAGCATTTCTCGTTTGTGAAAATCTTTTCCGGCCTCTTGCTTTCCAGTCGACTTTCATCTTCAAAATTTTAAGCGCAATGTCAATCGTCATCTTTTGTTTTCTTAATTCCTGTTCTTTTAGTGTTCTGCTTCCTTAATTATGTTTTCTTTTTTTCATATTCTTTCACACACGGTAACTCTTTGCGTCTTAGTGGCTTGTTGCCTGGAGGGAAATGATTTAAAAAAAATCTAAATAAACACAAGTCAAGATATCCCTAGACTTGGACAGCGTCCCTATAACAATCTACCCCTGGGTTCAATTCAAAATTCCTTGCATTTTACTCGGATTAAGAAACACCTGAAGAGTGCTGAAATGTTGTGATAACAACAACAAAGATGAGGATAATTTTCAAAATGTAAATAAAAATTAGAGTTAAACATTTATGTCGAATAAATTGTATGTGTAAGAATGAAGGAGGTGCAGTGGAGTAATGAATAGCGGCTCGGATTGATGAGAGCTGAGTTCGAATCCCAGTCGAATCCATTACATTCACTTACGTGCTAATACCCTTGGGAAAGGTATGAATCCTCTTCTTTTTCCACCAGCTATAGTAGGACAGAACGGATTCTATAGCCTTGGGTCGCAAATGGTCTACGGCAGAAAGAAATGGCAACCTACTGCGGGAAAAAAATCTGCCTTGTCAGTCATTTATCGAAAGATACATGATCGCCTAAGCGTGTATCACGCATGGCACATAACTGACTGACGTGCTAATACCTCTGGGAAAGGTATGAATCCTCTTCTCCTCCTCTCCAGCTATGGGTAAATAGCAGGACAGACCGGGTTCTATATCCTTGGATGGCAACTGGTCTAGAGCAGAAAGAAATGGCAACCTACTGTGGGAAAATATCTGCCTCGTCAGTCATGTATCTTTTGATACATGATCGCCTAAGCGTATATCACACATGGCACATAGGAATAGGTAATTTTGCACTTGTGTGTCTTCAGCAAATGTAGACATTTCTTTACAGGAACATTTGTGTATAAAGAATTCATATCGAAACTAATCATATATTTGTTTTTATTATTTATTAAAAAGATCTCCAGAGTTTTTTTTTTCATATGCGAGTAGCTAATTGTACCAAAAAGTGGGGGTAAATATAACATAAACTAACCGGCACACTAACCAAATTTTTAACACCCCACCTTTCTTGGTATAATTAGCTCCTCACGTATAAAGAATTTACTAAAGACACACTTAACTAAAACAAAAAATTACCTATCCCTACGCATAAATTCATACAAATGTGCCATCTAATCACCAGTCAATGTTTTTACACCTTCGATAACACACACACACACACACACACACACACACACACACACACACACACACACACACACACACCATTTCCATTTCCCTTAAATTTTTCTCATTGCTAACATTATATTTTCACCATTCTTCTGTAGAATCACATTTATGTTGCTTCATCTGTATTCTTTTATTCGCCACCATTTAGGAAGACCAATATTACATTAGTTCAGCACTTTTTTCTTTATTTCTAAAGAAGAGGAACTATAAATGAGTATATAAACAAAACGAAAAGAGTACACATAAAATTGAAAAAATGTATTGTTAAAAGCCTAAGAAACGGCTCTGCCAAGGCTGTCAATAAAGGTCGGAGCTTTTCTACGCTAACTGCCTGTCCAGATAGATATAGACTACTGATTTGCCAGTCAAGCGCGCCATCAACCGAGCTAGTGATTAGATATTTGTCAAAATATAAAACGTTGGAATAAACGTGGAATGCATGAAGAGAACATCGGAATTATGAATACAAAATTTAAAAATTTTAAACATAATTAACTATTTTCGCCTGATAGATAGATAGATAGATAGATAGATAGATAGATAGATAGATCAACGAAAAATATTTATTATTCATGTACATATAAATATGAACAAAAGAAAAGAAACGCAATGAAAAAAAGAAATGAAAAAATTATTAAAACGATATAAAGAAAGAGAAAAATAAAAGGTAAAGAAAGGGGAAAAAATTAAGAGCGGAAATAAAAAGGAGGAATACAAAGAAAGAAAGAGAAAATAAAAACAATAAAAAAAATGGGAGCCGAGTAAAACTCAATCAAAAGAAGGAAAGGGAGCCAAAAAGAAAGAAACGAGCAAACAAAAACACAAACAAATAAACAAACAAAATTAAAAGGTAACGAAAGAGGAAAAGTAAGAATGAAAGAAAAAGGAGAAAAATAAAGAAACGGCCAAATAGAAAGAAAGAAAGAAAGAAAGAAATGGGTGTCAAATGAAAACAAAGAGATGGAAAAGGAACTAAATACAATCAGTGTGAATCCAATGTTTTCTATCATTTCTAACTCTGAGCATGCGTACTGAAACATTCATGTGGAGAAAGAAAGAAAAAACAAAGAAAGGAAAAAGAATAGAGCAAAATAGAAAGAACAAAAAAAAAAAGAAAGAAACGTTATTTGGTTTTAAGTTTATGCACAAAAAAAACATTTGAAAATATAGAATAATCTATTGCCGTTATGAAAGTCAAAATAACCTTGTCGGAAACCTTATTGATGAGCTATTAATATTTACAAACATATCTGCGACTTATCATTCTTTATCTTTAATAGTCAATCCTAACAATTATATAAGCTTCGTCCTAATCTTTTTTTCCAGTGGCTCAGAAAAAAAAAAATGAAGATCATTTTTATTTACATAGCGTATTTATTGTAAACGCCCACGTATGCAAAATACAATATTTTTTATGTCAATTGCTTTTAATATTACTTCCGGTGATATACGGTCACAGACCTCCACAACGTCTTTTTCTTTAATATACATGAATTGCTATGACATTTTAGGAATTAAAGTGGATTATTTTTCCATTGTCATCTCTACTGCATTGAATTTAGACTGTCATCTAGATATCTTCATCTACTCTATTATTTAACCAATAGTCTAGTAACAGATGGATTCATGCCTTTTTCAAGAAAATTTGTGCGAAAGTAACGCTACAGATTAGGCCTGAATTTGAACACTGATCGTCGATTTCTCTTGCTATGCCGATAACCCTCATCTTCCCCACACATTAGTTTATCCTGTATTAGAATACTAGATTAATCGTATTGCTTTTAGTAAAATGGCGAGGTTCTGTGCAATTTCAAAGTTAAAATACCACAGGAATTCGGCTTTATGCCACGATTCGTTGATAAGATACCATCGGTGTGATATTCTTAATTTAAAGTTGTACCTTCGAAGCATAGCAAATGGGAGTAAAATAATACTATTGGATTAAACAGCTCCAAACTGATTTTCATTTCGTGTTTTGGCGGCTGTGAAAGACGGTCCAGAACATGAACTTCCGCGCACAACGTTGAAATATATTACTCGTCATTTAATGGTACTCATATCCAAAATATAATGTCAGCAGAGGTCAATGAAGGGATAAGGATACAATTTTTTTCTCTCGCAAGCAAAAAATTCAATGACATATCTTCTCATCAGCTTTAGGTTTCTGTCTATATTTCTGAGATGAGCAGCTTTACAATTCGGACTAGTTTTCTCATTCATATTTGAGATGATTTCTGAGATGAGGTATTATGTACATTATTTACATTATTTGGACTATTGTCCTCATCTTTGTCGCCATATTTATTACAACGTTTCGGGCTTTTTAGTATCTGTCTATATTTCTGAGATGAGGTATTATGTACATTATTTACATTATTCGGACTATTGTCCTCATCTTTGTCATATTTATACGTTTCTTTGAGATGTCTATAGGTGAGATTATTATACATTATTTACATTATTCGGACTATTGCCTCATCTTTGTCGCCATATTTATTACAACGTTTCGGCCTTTCAGTATCTGTCTATATTTCTGAGATGAGGTATTATTCGGACTACATTATTTACTTTTTAGTATCTATATTTCGGACTATTGCTAGTTTTCTCATCTTTGTCGTCATATTTATTACAACGTTTCGGCCTTTCAGTATCTGTCTATATTTCTGAGATGAATTATTATGTACATTATTTACATTATTCGGACTATTGCCTCATCTTTGTCGCCATATTTATTACAACGTTTCGGCCATATTTTTACAAGTATCTGTCTATATTTCTGAGATGAGGTATTATGTACATTATTTACATTATTCGGACTATTGTCCTCAGCCATATTTATTTACAACGTTTCGGCCTTTTAGTATCTGTCTATATTTCTGAGATGAGGTATTATGTACATTATTTACATTATTCGGACTATTATACAACGTTTCGGCCTTTTAGTATCTGTCTATACTGAGATTATTTACATTATTTTATTATTCGGACTATTGCCATATTTATTCATCTTTGTATCTGTGAGATGAGGTATTTACATTATTTACAACGTTTCGCCATATTTATTACAACTTTCCTTTTAGTATCTGTCTATATTTCTGAGATGAGGTATTATGTACATTATTTACATTATTCGGACTTTTTGTCCTCATCTTTGTCGCCATATTTATTACAACGTTTCGGCCTTTTAGTATCTTTGTACATTATTTACATTATTCGGACAACGTTTTCTCATCTTTGTCGTGCCATATTTATTACAACGTTTGCCTTTTTAGTATCTGTCTATATTTCTGAGATGAGGTATTATGTACACTATTTACATTATTCGGACTATTGTCCTCATCTTTTCGCCATATTTATTACAACGTTGTTATTTAGTAGTCCGAATAATGTAAATATTATTCGAGCTTTATCTTTGGTCATCTACCATTTTGCCTTTTTTAGTATTGCTATATCTGAGATGAGAAGGCAAACATATTGGGTTAATAGTCTGAATAATGAAATAACGAAATGTATTCTCTATTGTCATAAATCGAACACCTTTCTTCCTTTGGGAACAAGTTTCTACCGCACCTGACCTGGTGTCTCTGCTTCAGTCATATTCCCACCGCCGGTATGTAGCTTCCCCGTACCTTTCTATAAATACTTTTATGATAACTGTTCAGAATAACTCTATGCTATGTTGCCTAGACTTTAAGCGCAGTACTACACTGGCGGTAACATAATGGACTATTCCATACGTAATAAATACTGCGCCTCAAGAGGAAGCAGGGAGTTCAGTCCGAAGTCGAACGACCGGCTGACCGGCTGATCAGTTGAACTCTCTGCTTTCGGGCGGGGAGGAACCCGAACGAGGCTACGCCGAAGGGCGGAGTCTCTTTCGGGGAGGTAAACCGACCCTGAACCTGTTTATACGGGTTCAAAGGGCATATTTTTGGCCGAGCCCACGGGCTTGGAGATCCCATGTTAAACCGGCTTTGTGCCACATGATGCCCTCGTTGGCGGGGGGTGACTAAATGCCGTTCAGTCCGAAGTCGGGCGACCGGCTGATCGGTTGAACTCTCTGCCTTCGGGCGGGGAGGAACCCAAACGAGGCTACGCCGATGGACGGAGTCTCTTTCAGGGTGGTAAACCGACCCTGAACCCGTTTATACGGGCTCAAAGGGCATATTTTTGGCCGAGACCACGGGCTCGGAGATCCCACGTTAAACCGGCTTTGTGCCACATGATACCCTCGTGAGGGTCACTAAATACTGTTCAGTCTGAAGTCTGGAGTGAATCCGTCAGGAGTCTGTCAGTCAGTCAGAGCGAGCGAATCAGTCAGTCGAGCCGGAGGCAGTCCGAAACAGAGTCGCGTTCAGACAATTACTAGTAAACCTGATTGTTCGTACTAACACTTTCTACTTCTCTGTATATATTCCTCTTTGTAATATATCTGTGTTATTCCATATCCGTGTTCGAGTTCTTCTTTATTGGTTCTACCTTGGACTATCACCGTGGTAAAAGGGACCAGACCATAACAATCTTCAAATATAATTTCTTTTGTTATCTACTCTCTTCTTGATTATTCTTCGAATGTTCTCTCTCCTTAATGTTTCTTTTTTTCTTATTCTTTCATACTCAGTAACCATCTTGTGTCTTGGTAACTTTTCTCTCTTTTATGGAGTGGTATGATTAAAAAAAATATCATTATATATTTTTATCTTACTACAATTAACAGCAAATTTATCACAATTTTAAAATTATTTATAATGGTAATCTATTTAACTCTAATCAAATTGTACATATCTTGAATGCCTATTTGATCTGCTTTTGTAATGTTTTTATAATGTTTGTAAACATTATTGTGTCATCGATTATGTAGGTATGTGATTGAATGCGTTCAAATTGACCTAATTATCAAGGTGTTGCTGCGACAACTTAGACACGTTTACTTAACTCCTCGCCCCATCATTGGCCTATATCTCTCGTTTAATAAATTTTGCAAATCACTTACCAGCTTCAACAGCTACTATCCATCTAATGGCTATTATATAATACATTTTTTAATTTATGTGTTTTGCTAGCTGTAATAGATTTGTATTATATACACACACACACACATATATATATATATATATATATATATATATATATATATAGTAATTACTAATGTTTATCGCGTTTACAGTGAAGCAGATTCTGTAATAAACTTTGCTCAATATTGAAAACAAGCCTTATCTAAGGACCAAATCCAAGTTTCACAGATATTCCACTCGACAGTCACCGAACTTGTCCTTATCTTGACAATATATACTGGACTCTTCCATGGTTTTCGATACATGAGAATGAAACAGGTCAGTTCTTAGAACCAACAGCCAGACTACTCGCTCATATCTTTTAATTATAGTAGTGAAGACTTCTGCATGTTCAACCTCACCTTTTGGAAGAGCCGAATAGAGATTTGGTGCGCAGTATGCCAAAAGGTCTCCATACGACACTCAACAGATTTTTAATTCAGACTAGTCCTTCTCCGCGACCTTTCGCTACACAAGTCTATAGAACCCAGTCCGTCCTGCTATTTGCCCATACCTGGGA